TTAGCCCTCAAGGGAAGGCAGGGACAGATCATGGGCATTCCCCGCCATCCAAGGAGGCTTCCATGCATGCAGAGCCGGCACATGGCGCTCTGGTTCTGGGCTCACCCAAGGAATCGTCACGTCCTGCACATGCCTGCTTAACCTCACAACCGTATCAGGCCTCCCGCTCGACAGGGGCTGCGCCCTCTGGAAGTCAGCGCGGAGCAGCCCGTGGGTTTTGGACTTTTGTGACCACACAGATAGGTACATTCTTTTTTATTCGCACGTTAGATTTCTTTGACGAGCCGTTAGCCCGACAGAATTTTACATCCTGCATCAGGCATATCGTTATCAGTTTTGTCCCAACACTCGGGCGAGTGGGGTCTTTGGGTGTGGACATTCTGTCTTTTTCAGTTTAATACCAATTTTGATGGTCAGATTTTGATCCGTATGTTCTAGTTTTGTCGGACAATTAGGATGGTGTCGACGACACTGAGGGTTAACCGAGGATGTACATGAATGGCCAGCCTATGGATGGTTGCTGTTGTGGTGTACCTCAGCGCGGTGACGACGACACTGGGGGTTAACCGAGGATGTACAAGGATGGCCAGCCTATGGATGGTTGCTGTTGTGGTGTACCTCAGCGCGGTGACGACGACACTGAGGGTTAACAGAGGATGTGCAGTGAACAATGTTCTCTTTACTCCGCAGTCTTTTAACCAAGGGTTGTAATTTTGGCTGTACGTTTGGCAAACCTACTCATGTTCCTAATGAGTTTTGATAACATTTTTCACCCAAGCGTTTGGGGGCGGGCTGATGAGAGCCACAAGGACACATCACCTCTGGGGGCCGCCGAACTCCGAGATCCCCTGACAGCTCTGTTAATGCTCATTTGAGACATTATCCGTGGCGCACGACGAGGACGTGCTGTAGGGGTCTTGCGTGAGGTTCCGTACAACCAGGATAGTTAAGGACTGGCGCCCGAGTGACGTACGGAGTATCTCCTTATACACATCATGTTGGACTTAACTTCCCCTCACGCCTGTGACATAAATCACCGCGCCACTGTATGTAATTCACTCGACAACCCGTAAAGTTTGACTTGCACCGATGTTTCTCTTGGCCTAGAGTTTTGCCTTGAAATGTTGTATTTGGGACAGTCTTGGATGACATGATCTGTTCTCGCAGGTGCCAATCCACATATGCACATGTCTGATTCGTCGATTTTACATTTAGTGTACATGTTGCTGCGAAGCCGATTGTGTCCTGTTATAAGGCGTAGAATAATAACTTGCTCTGGTCTGTCCATAAAATGGTAGTAATCTTGTGCCGGTTTTAGTGGCTTTCTGATTGATTTGATTATTCTCTTCTTTTGTTGATAAGGGACTGGTACGAAACAGACACCAATTCAAGGCAAATAATCAGCAAGCTCACAGTTATCCGAGTTATAGGAACTTTTCAAAACATCAAAATAAGCGGGTCATTCTCAGGGGGTCATGGTCAGCATTAGCTTCCCGTGAATTAACTCAACAAATTGTTCATTGTATAGCAGAATTGTATCAAAATAATCGTAACGAATCGCTGCAAATATCAAGTGATTTCCTGAAAATCTCCACAATTTATGTACATTCTATTGTTTTAGGGGTAGTTAAAGTTCAAAGAAACCAACCGCTTTAAGAAAACAGCAGCACCTGTGCATTTGTAAATTTTAAAATCACAAGAAAGTTAGAAATCTAAAGCCAAATTTAAGATCGATCCGACAGAAGTTTTTTAGATATTCGTTAAAGTGTCAGGGCACGACTTTCGAAATGCCCTATATTTTTATTTAACAGTTTAGTACTTGAATATTGTAAAGCTCTAATATAGAGTGACTGATGAAATGAGGTTGCTTGAGGTTCTGCGTTCAATCCCCGATAAGGGCTGGGATTTATTCACGTGGATTTGGACTTCTAGTAATACCCCCCCCCCCCCCCAACCCCTTCCGGTCTCTGGTTAGTGAGATCGGACGTCCGTGTTCGTTGCTGCGCATGAAAAAAATCCATTGGCAGTTGGAAATCGAAAAGAGTATCTTAACGGCGCTGCTGTGGGCAAAATTTGGAGTTAAAAATCTACCTAAAGTATTTCATGATCCTCGCCGGTGCAACAGAGCCTGTGCGCTGTGCTGAGCTTCATAGGACTCAGAGTTGAGTTAGAAGAAAAACGGAGCATTTATGGGTTACTACTAGTGTGTCATGATGTTGATCCCTTGTTCAAACTTCAAACTTTAAACAGTGACTTGTCAAGAAGCGCGTCAAAGCATGTTTAAAACTACGGACGATAGCGTCTTTCAGAAACACTTAACTTAATCGGTACCAAGCAATACATCACGTATTTTCGGAAATACTTAACTCTGTCGGTACCAAGTAATACATCACGTATTTTCGGAAATACTTAACTCAGTCGGTACCAAGCAATAATACATCACTTATTCGTTGAGTAACTTCTTTTCGTGGTATATTTTTCTTGACCCTCTCTGTCTGAAACAATGCGCTGTTTCTGACTGAGTATTATTGACGTGTACCAATCAACATGTTATATATGTTTTTACATCCTATGTTTAGTGAGGGTTTTTGGAGAACTCTGAAACATTTGTTTACGGAAAGATTTGTATATTTAGTCTTCTGGAAGTAGTATAACCACGAGCTTAGTACTGTCATTCGTAATTCCCGCATATATTAGCTAGAACAATACATTTACTCTCAGTTCATTGGTTAGTCCAAAGAGAACAGACAATGCTTTTCTTACATCATTTTATTGATCTTTTTTTTTTTTTTTTTTTTAAATCTGTCTTTCCCCCTCTAGGGATGCCTTCTGAAAGATTAGCACAAATGTCCCAGAGAGCCAGTATTTGAATGAGAAACCAAAAGTAGTGAACCCTAAAAACCTTGTTCATAGACCAGCCAGAGAAACCTAGAATCTCAGAAACTGGCGATACAACTCTGGTCTGAAAGAATAGTATTTGAAAGGGTTCAATGTAAAACAGGCCTACGTGCCCAGTTTGTAACCCTTTTGAAATTAAAGTTCTCTCGATTGTTCCTTCGTTCGTTCACCCATGTAGCACAATGATTTTAAGACGCCATAAGGTTACAAACTTACAGTCTAGAATAGGTGGGTGGGTGGTAGACTATGGCAGAGAGTTGCCACATTAACGAACACTATCAGCAATGTTAATTAACCCATTCTGTCCAATATGATTATTTTAACTCACGGAGGTGTAATGTTTAAATTCTTTGATTCTTGTTTGCATTTGTGGTCTTAAGTATTTATGTAATGTGTCTATGAACGCTCTCTAGCCGAAACGTTGATTTGTCGTTTATCTTCTTTTTCTTGTTCTTCTTCTTCTGTTTCTTCTTTTTCTTCCTTTCTTCTTCTTCCTTTCTTCTTTTTCTTCTTCTTCTTCTTCTTCTTCTTCTTCTTCTTCTTCTTCTTCTTCTTCTTCTTCTTCTTCTTCTTCTTCTTCTTCTTCTTCTTTTTCTTCACCAGCTGTAAACTCCGAGGGAAAGTTCGGGGTGTTCGTACACTTCAGAACTCTAGTCCTGTTCCAGAACCTGAGCTTTGCGTGCACGTCCTTTAAAAAAAAAATACACACACAAACAGATCTGACTCATTTGTTTGCAGACTGTTGGTTCCTGACCTCTCAAGCAGATGCACTCCGACTTCGAAGAAAAATCCCAGATAGCCGACTCTTACTACATGCTTTTGTTTGGATAGGTAGCTGGTCTGTTTCCCCCCTCCCCTTACCCCCATCCCCACAATGGGGCCCCGGAACCCTCGTTGTCGTTTATGTTTGTGTTAATAAGCTGACTTTTCTGCTCTTCGTTTGATTATATATAATTATATATATATATATATATATATATATATATATATATATATATATATATATATATATATATATATATATATATATATATATATATATATATATATTTATATATATTAATACTTTTATTGAGTGTCAAATTTGTCTGCTTACATTCATCAATGCCTACTTTGTATTGTTTGTGTTAAATAGATACTTTGCATCTGTTGGTGTTGTTGATATTGCGTATATGTGTGCACATTTACAAAATAGGATAAATCAAACTGATAACATTCAAGTCACAATGTACACTACTTATATTATAAATGGTTATCTTGACGGAGAAAACGGTGGCATGACAGTGACGATACTGATGTTACTGAGAGTTGGCTATATTGTTAGTATTTGTACGCGGTCTTTTATGGGACACTGGCGATGCATGGTGATTATTATGAAAGCCTCTCCCGCATTCAGTGAAAAAAAATGTGTTCCTGTAAAGCACGAGAGGCTGGAGATCTCATTACTTATTTAACTGTAAACAATTGGATTGTTCTCCCCCCCCCCTCCCCCCCCCCCACCCCATATAACGGAAACAAAGCAAAATGTGAACTAGACTCCTGTTTACATTTTTTTAAATGCATGCTAGATTTCAACAACTTACACCAAACGGTTACTGGGTTACAGGTTTTAACAATTGGCCACGACTTCTGGAATGGACTATAGTCAAAAAAGCACTATATCTTATCCTGCTAGACTGCACGTATTTTCTTCTTCTGCGAAAGTCATTATTTAACAATGAATAATTCTAGACAAACTGACTCACTGATCAAATAAATTCACAACAGGTTAGTACTTGTGCAGTCTCAACTGCCAATCCCTCAAGTTCATGGGCTAGATCAAATATCAATCAGTATTTTTTCTGCAGGCTGCAGAATTCAAATTGAGCGCACGACGGTGCCATTTTTCTCTTACACGTCTGCAACTTGGCGTACTAAGTGCGGCACAAGGAACAATTTTCCATGGCTAGCAGAATTAATTTCCCCGTATGGGTTCCAGCCTCTCACCCCCCCCCCCCCTTTTTCTCTCTCTCTCTCTTCCTTTTCCCCGCGATACAAATTTTGGGCCCACTGACCCCTATCAAAAATGTCGTAAAAAAGGCAACTTACAGTGGTTTTACTGACTAAAATCTGGTAGGTTTTTTTTTTTTTTGGGGGGGGGGGGGGGGGGATGCATTTATCAGAGCTTTGTTGGAAACACAACACAAAGTGCTAACTGCCCTTGTAAGGACGAACAAGAAGAAATGCTCAGTGAACGGATGATCATTATGTGATTTAAAAAGATTGTTTATCTGCACCACCATTGTTCCTAGTTCTGCCATTGTTCCTAGTTCTGCCATTGTTCCTAGTTCTGCCATTGTTCCTAGTTCTGCCATTGTTCCTAGTTCTGCCATTGTTCCTAGTTCTGCCATTGTTCCTAGTTCTGCCATTGTTCCTAGTTCTGCTATTGTTCCTAGTTCTGCCATTGTTCCTAGTTCTGCCATTGTTCCTAGTTCTGCCATTGTTCCTAGTTCTGCCATTGTTCCTAGTTCTGCCATTGTTCC